ATGGCTATAGAGCCGATTGCAGATAAATATAGAGAAAAAAAAAAAAAAAAAAAATCTGATATGCATAAGAAGTGTGGTCGATTTCTGAGTTAATAAATCATTATAAACATATTTAGATTCGCTAAATTCGTTAATTTATACGATGATATTAATCAACATTTTATTATTCTTACCAAAGGTTAGAATATTTAGCGTATTAAATAAATTTAGAGGTTACTAGTTAAATTATAAAAATTACCTACTTATAAAGACAGTTAAATCGCCCCCAGTCAGGGGAAAATATTGTTTGATAATATTGAGGTCATCGCATTTATAGAACTTTATATAACGAAAGCTGTTCAAAACACGAAAGCATGCTCCGACAGATGGGAAACATTGACGATGAGGTCGAGTGCACCTGCCGCTTAACTAATCTCAAGTAAGGGAATTTAGACCATGTGTTTCTCAGCTTAAGGTACTATTCGCTTGATTTAAAGAAGACTTGGATATATGAATTAGGGTAAGCAAAATTGAGACTTTGTTTTTATTTAAAAAGGTGTAATATACCTTGAAGTGCGCCTGTGGGTCTATCAAACAATGGGCTCTTTGGACATATATTTTTGTTGGCTAGTTTACGCAGGAAATGTGGCCACTATTATCCACATAGAATAAAGTGGTTAATAATGTGAATTCCGCTACCCATCTTGAGGATTATGGTCGAAATCTCAAACACTCTCCACTCTTCAAGATATTATTACTACGTGAAACATATGAACAGACTGGTAGAGAATGCTATCGACATTAGCTCTGCCTGTGTAAATAAATACATAAAGTGTAATAAATAAATAAACCTAAAAACAATATATTTAAAAAAATTGGCGGTATTTTTAAACACAAAGTTGTTCTTACGTAATTCCTTTCCCTCATAGTTCCATATAATATAAAAAAAAGTGAGCATATGTTAATTATGTGCTATTCAAAGGCACTGATTTGATATGCGTATAGTTATATGTACTAGAGGTCCCGCAGTAGTCGAAATTCGACTATAATTACATAATTGGAATTGTAAGTTTGTACACTATTATGATTGTATTTTATACTTCTATAATCACAAATTTCGTCAAGGCTACTCTGTAAAAATATATTAATAAAGACAAACAATATTTAATCTATTCTCAATTTGACCACAGACGTCACGAACAAAAGTTTGACAATAAATCGTATGCATGCGTGTGTGTAATGTTTTCTTTATTGATTGAATGTATCTTTTATGCATTATTTAAAAAATATATTAGCATTGTGCACTTCTTCTCTATATTCTCTATAAGTGTGGAAAATTTCATACTCCTCCGTCCGCGCAATTTTCGTAAAAAGGGATACAACGTTTTTGCTTCACATATTAATATATAGATTTGTATACACAAGGTGTCTTATACGAGAGACGTAACAAAACGTCTTAACCGTACATTACCGTGTGGGACGGTGGGATGGATGTAATGTGCTCTGCGTCAACCCTGTCCCGCCGTTTCAATAGCCCCGACTGGGCTCCGGCCCGGTCCGAGGTAGGGCGCCGGTCGTGAGCGGCAGGAGTTTTTAGTGAGGTTCAACTCCCACATACCCCACCTGCCGCGCGGGTGGGGATCCGGCGATTTTCTCCTGTGGAAAAAAAAAAAAAAAAACCCGTACATTACCGTAGTTGAACCATACATTTTTTTCCCATTCTTTCGCCGGTGCCAAAAAGGCTATTTCAGCCAGAATTTTGCAATGCTAATCGCTCTTATGAACCTTGATGTTACGGTTCATAAAATCGGTTCACTTCGTCACATTTTATTTATTAAGGCCGCAAATAAACGGGCACGACTCCATTATTTACGGTTTTTAGCTTCGATACATAAAAATGTTTATTTGTATTTTCCCACAGTTTTAAGATTCTGTAGGGGATTAGCCTGAAACGGCTATTGTAATTTTATTATGTTTATCTGTCCTTCTGAGATACGATGAATTCTATTCGAATAAACAAGTGAAGTGGTTGAAGCTTTTGCAACGGGTATCCCAAGCCCTACGAATCAAATTGAATGACTCATTCGTACCAGAAATTTTGACATTGGATATTGACACTTGTCGATGCGGGCTCGCAATATATACCACTAATCTTCAAGGATATGGGCATATCGTGATGTAAATATACAAATAGGAGCGGACGTTGAAAAGTGTAGTCATGAAATTCACTAGAAGACCCATAGCCTCCTCGCTTCGGTTTCCTCAATGCTGAGGGTCTGAACCCCCTTCTCGCAACAAGAGTTTATTGTGGATCACTCTACGCCATTTGGCCCCATTGCCTCCTCCTCCTCCTCGCTTTGGTTTCCTCAACGCTGAGGGTCAGGACCATCTTCGCGCAACAAGAGCTTATTGTGGATCATTCTATGCCATTTTTCCCTATATGTAATGTATGAAAAACAGCCAAACAAACTGACCGGTCGGTTCGTTCTTTTGTCGTCTATTTCATGTACATACATGAACAGTCTGTTAGTTCTTTGTTGTCTGGTGCGTGTATGTCTTTTAGGAAGGCATTGAAGAGATATTTTTTTTTTTAATATTTATTGCTTAGGCTGGTGGACGAGCTCACAGCCCACCTGGTTTTAAGTGGTTAATGGAGCCCATAGACATCTACAACGTAAATGCGCCACCCACCTTGAGATATAAGTTCTAAGGTCTCAGTATAGTTATAGCGGCTGCCGCCCTTCAAACCGAAACGCATTACTACTTCACGGCAGAAATAGGCGGGGCGGTGGTACCTACCCGCGCGGACTCACAAGAGGTTCAATCACCAGTATAAGAATGACTCCCAGTCACGTTCGTCCTCGTTCAAATTCTTTTCTTTTGTTACTTTTCGAATCATCTGTCAAGTCTATGTCTAGTCGTTGTAGGTTGTATGTCCTGTCAAAGAGGTTGCACGCCACGACACAAACTATTCACACCCAAGCAGTCCCATTTCGATTTTATTACAGTTATTTTTCTTCCTAAAGCACCCAAAATCGGCCAAAACTTAACCGATTCGAAGAAAAAACACGAGCGAATTGTTTACGAACAAACAAACATAAAATCGCGGCTCTAAAAATTTATAATCTAAATAAAAAAGGATATAGATGTAATTAAATTAATTAAAAGCAACTGTATTCCTGATTTAGTGCGACTGTATTCATTATGTGATAAAGCAATGAGATAAGACGGGACTTCATTCTACAGGAAATGAACGAATGATTATCTCCGTTGAGACGGAGACTGGTCTAAGTCATAAGATTTAGGCGCTCGTTATACTAAAGCGGTAAAGTGCTACAGTAGGAAAGTTGTCTGACTTCGGTTACTGAGCAGTAAACCGTTTCATGACCTTATGTGCTTCTGATTCTGAAGTCATTGTGAACATATCATAAGTACGCATTTCATTAGAAATTCTGGTAGTTTTCTGGTTTGAGCGATGCGCGCTTAATACGAACACACTAGAATTTTTAACATTTAAGACACGACGATTTTGATCTCATGCCAATGTCTTGTGTTTTGATTAAATATCAAGAAGTCACTCCTATTGTATGCAATAATATAAAGCTCCAACTGTGGTTGTATGAGCGTAATTATTAATAATAATACTTTGATTTTCTTCGAGAAAGCGAAATGGCACGAAAGCCCTTTTATCGTGTCCACCTTTAACTATATTTCCGACCCTGGCGATGGGTCTACCCAGGTCAACCCAAAACCCACCGCCTTGACGGCGCGATGAATAACCTAAAGCGCAAAGCTACATTACGTGTTCTGTTAAAACAGTCTTCCACAGACCTAGGATATTCTACTACAATGTAGGAAAAAAAAATCCCTACCTATTCGCTGGTAGCCTAAGGGGCTATTTCAGCTACGCCCCGACGAGACTAAAATTGTATTATTACTTTCCATATTTCCCTTATAACTTAGACCAAACTATAATTATCGGAACAAATAAGTAAAGCAGCCGCATCCGCGTATTCATTATGGAGCAACAAAAATAAATAGAAAACTACTTTTACACTTCCGATGGCTTAATGCTATACTAATAAATAATTATGATTATGTTTCACTGTTAATTATGTTTCTTTACCGAAGACCGGACAAAGTGGAGAGGTTTAAGTAAGAAAGCGAACCGTAGCATTAGACCGGGAAAACGCTAGACAGAGGAAGTACAATGTTTTTACTATTAATGTAAAACTCGGCTAGTTTTCAAAACTCCTGCTTTTGAGCCTTTTGATACTATGGTTGTAGACCATGCTATCAAAAAACTTTTCTTTAGACGACAAGGTGGTCAGTCTTGAGTGGTATTTTCTCAAATCTTTTTTGTTCATTAGCATGAAATTGCCAAAATAGTCTGCAATTCACCTTCTGATACAAGACACATCACCGTTAGCTGTCTATCGAGGTTGCTCTGTGTGCTTAGTGCGAGTTTTTTAACGTTCTCGATGGCGTAAAGTTAAATAAGTCAAATTTGTATGGAGTTGAAATGTTTGCCTACGTTTGTCGCTAGGGACGCTTTTCCAACTATAGGCAGACAATCCCTATGTACTTCGGTAACAGTAACCACATCGCAATGTAAATCTATCATCCTCTAGAATCTAAACGTAAGTATCTAAAGTGTCGTGTCGAAGTAGCATTAAAACGCTACTTCGACAAAGCGGCGCGACACGATAACTCTTATGATGGCCGCCACTAATTACATATCCGATCGAGGTGACGGGGCAACGCAAATCCACCGTCTAGACGCCCGAAACATATCTTGTCAAATCTCGTGGATCTGCTCTTGATGCTTTTAGACTCTTCAAGCACCAGTTAGCGAATAGGTAGGAAAATAAAAATCGTTCTCAGCATGTAAACGTATTAATGGGTAACATAATCATATATAACTAAGATGATTAATGAATTTTATTAGCTTGGACTATTGCGTAAGATAAAAAAAACAAACGGAATTAACTGTGGTGACTTATGTCCATTTGTATCCGCAGGCACACTCGACAGTGTCCCACCGTATAGGATGCCCCCAGCACCGGAGGCGGCGCTGCCTGGAGTCCCAGCGCCTCCCGGACCTGCCGCCCTGCACACACACTCCGCAAAATTTCCTGTGAGTCTTGTACATATTTTATATATATCTACATATAAATAAAATTGGAGTGTCTGTTTGTAATATTAAAACAACCGCTTTTTACTACATACATATGAATATATATATACGGTACATACACCAAAATAACATTTTTTACAATTCTTGTCTGTCTGTTTGTTTGTTCCGGCTAACCTCTGGAACGGCTGGACCGATTTTGACGACACTCACTGATAGGTAGCTGATGATATAAGGGGTAACTTAGGCTACTTTTTTTAGACTAGCTTCGCCCCGCGTCGTTATCTGCGTTACGACAATAACCGCGGGTAACATCGCGGGACTCAGCTATCAATAATAAAATTTAATGTTTCCGAAACGAAGCGAGGGCGGGTCGCTAGTTTAAAATATAAAACAAACGTGTTTTTAATTATAATGAGATTAATAAAACAAAAATAATACCGCTATCTACTCGCTCAAACCGCCTCGATTCTACACGCAAGATAGCAGCATCGGCGACTTCAACTGGAACGGTTATGTACATATAAATAATTTTATAAAATAACTAGCGACCCGCCCTCGCTTCGCTTCGGAAACATTAAAACACGCATGAAACAAAAAAAAAAAAAAAAAAATTGCCTATGTTCATCAGGGACAATGTCGGCTTCTAATGGAAAAATAATTTTTCAAATCGGTCCAGTAGTTTCGGAGCCTATTCGAAACAAACAAACAAACAAATCTTTCCTCTTTATAATATTAGTATAGATTTGTAATGGCTCAACGCCTTTTTTTTCATTATTGGGGATGTATTTGTGCTTATGTGTATGTTTAGACTTAGAATTATTGTGTTTCATAAAATGTGTTTACTGGCTACTTGAGAACGGTGAAACAAGTCATCAATTTGCGTAAATTTACTAACTCCCCAAATGTTATCTTACACCTTTAAACGAGCAATTCTTACATATTAATATATATGACGGAGGAGAAAGGCTGAAGGAATGTTTTTAAAAAGTGTGACGTCAGCATTGTTGACGTCACGGTCTTTAAGTTCTCGATGATGACTCATATTTGGGCTTCCAAAACAAAACTTCACGAGAACTGCGTATATTGCACGAGAAGCATAACAACGTTACAGAGAGATCCGTACTGTACTACGGCTCGGACACGAATGAATAAACGCTAGACAGCACGGCCGTATTTATAGGACTTCGTACACGTCAGCGTGTTTACAAGTATTAAACACGTGAGCGTGTTTACAAGATTTTAAAGTATTGAAATTACAATAAAAGGGACTGTTTAACATCAATTTCTTATCACAGAGTAATTAGTTGATGATCAGTAGGTAAATAGTCATATTTGCGCCGACATATATGTATTTATATATAATCTGAATCTCGGAAACGGCTCCAACGATTTTCATAAAATTTAGTATACAGGGGATTTCGGGGGCGATAAATCGATCTAGCTACGATTTATTTTCAGAAAATGTTGTTATATTCATGTTTTCAATAATCAACTCTTCCCGACATCTATTGGCGAATAATAATACTATTTTTCTTGATTGAGGGCAACTAACCGCTTTAAAGACACAACAAGATGGCGTTATAAAAAAAAAACGAACGAAGCTCGATCATCATCTATAGTAATTAAATAAATAAAAATGAGGTATGATTGAATTAGGGGTAGATAGAAAGCAGGGAAATACGTAGTACTTTCAACGTAAGTCTGACGTTACAAATTATTGGGAGCAGTTTTTGTGGTCACGTAAGAAGATTCTGTGTGCTTAATAAATATTCACATATTTTTGCGCTCATCTTAGATTCAACGCTAAAACTGTCTTAACCATCTCTCTCTACGATTGGTGAGTCCCTCAGAAAATACGAAATACTACATCGAACAACAATAGATATAAAACCTTCACGCCTAACTCATTTTTCTATTGTCTTAGCGTGTAGCATCCGTAGTTTCTATAGTTTTTGCATCGATATCTATAGCTTCAGTGAAAGTGTTTATTGTTATTTCATTTATCCGATCGAAGTGACGTGTGGTTGGATTTTGAATGTGCAGTTTCTTTTTAAAAGTATTGAATTTTATAAGTCGTTGAAGAAAGCGCTTTTAAAGGTATGAGTTGCTAATCTTATTGTGTATGTGTATATTGTTTGTGTATATAATATGTTCAGTTTGATTATGTCTCTAGCATCGATCATGATCATAAGGTAACCATTTAATATCCGGTGGACCGTCAACATTTCGGGTTTCAAATGGAACAACATAATTTGTTTTTATTTTATTTATTTATACATATTGTACACAAAAAGAAAATACAATAAAAACAGATTTAAAGAATGTATAAATACTATGCACAAAGGCGAGTTTAACTCATTCATGAGTTTTCTTCTAGCAAACCATTAGCAGAGAGAAATACGATATATAAGAGGGGAATAGTGTACAATATAAAAGGTATTAAAGCATGATTTTTAAACAAAGCTTTAAAAAAAATATAAATAAACATACATAAAACAATAACTTAAATACAATTAAAGTGACAGGAAATGTTTCTTCATTTGACTCTTAAAAACTTCTAGAGAGGAACTAGCACGAATAGCTTGAGGGAGAGAATTCCATAATCGCACTGCTTGTATTGTGAAAGAGCCACTATAGCGACTAGAGCTGTGTATGTAGAGCTGGGTATGTTTAATAAGACGTTAAAAAAGTTTACAAAAATTCAATGTAAATTTATATTTTCAAAAGTACTACTTTTTCTCAGTATTTATGTATGTAATTTGTATTTACACTCTCTCATAATTATCCTCTTTCATTAATATTTATATCAAAAAGTGCATAGTATACTAATACATATTAAAAATGATATTGCCGATGGCCCCATAAGCTAGGTTTCCAAAAGATTTACAATTTCTCTATTAATACCTGTATTATACTCCGACGGATGTTTGCATAGCAAATAATGGTTAAATGTCAGGTAATAACTAATTGTCTTCCTAACAGATAGAACGAGAAGTGATCTTATCTTCAGGAGAAAAGAATTCCAAAGTGCCAATACTTCAAGAGGCTCGAAAACGCGGCAGACTTGGCGCCGTGGCTCCCGACACCCCACCAAAAACACTCTCAGCCTGGACTCACTCGGAGGTATGCTTTGAGATGTTATTTAAATCACCATGTAGCTAATAAGCATGTACATCATTAATTACTGTACTGCTAAAAGTGAGACCTTACAACTCATGTCTCAAGGTGGTTTGTTTTCTTTCCATAGTCCTCTGTTATATACAATTTATTCGCTCACTCCCTTCTATCACATGTCGCCTTCACGCAATCCATCCTTTTCTCCTTAGGTGTACCTTCTCCTCTATATCCTTCCACATTCATAGTTAACACTCTCTTACCAATCTCATTTTCATTTCGTCTCATCACAATGTCCATACCATCGCAAACGCGCACTTCTCAACTTCTCTGTCACGGGTGCCACTTACACATTTCACACACAGTCCTTCTACAAAATAGTTTGGAAGATATTCTGAAAATAATTTTTATTTGGCATTAAGTCTAAATAATTCACCAAATCGAACACCGAATCGAACACCTTATTATTTAAGAAGATAGTTAAACACTCCCAGTTTCGCTTGTCCGATTAATCAGTAGAGAAAGCTATCTATTGTGCGTTGATAACAGCATAGGAAATCTTTCACGAAACTACAATTGCTGTTCAAAGTTTCTACTTAATCCTATAAACGATCTAAAAGACACAGAAAATGAGAATATACGGGTATAATAATTTTTTTGAAGAATCTGAAAGCGCTTTATTTTCAAAATTCCTTACGAAGTACGGGTGAATACAACTTCATTACGAATGACGTCATTTGGGGCTAAAGTGTAACTTAACCACAGATCATCCTCCAATATACAATGATTAACATATAACATCATTAGTTATTATTTGTGTTCAGCATGATACAATGACCTGAGGACATAATGCTTGAGAGTGGAAGATTGCGAAAAATTGTAAAATAAATATATTGTGAGAAATTGGGAAAACGTGAAACGTGAAAATTCAAAACTTTACGAGAAAACAATGGCCACAGTGTAGTCAATAAAATTAGCTATGAAAAAAACACTGTTAAGGTGACATCAAGGAAATTAGCTTCCGTTATATTTTATAGCTGAGCTAATATTGAAGCTTAACACGTATCTGCCCTTAACTAGGACATCGGATAACTGTAGCCGTTCAAGTGTGCTATAAATAAAGTCTTGTAGCAAGCATACTAATATGAACTTCCTAATATTGACTTTATAAATAAATTTGATTGACTAGGCTATGCAGTGGTTAGCGCCCCTTCCCATATCGGGCAAACATTATGTGAGGAACAGATTTATTGGCTCTTTGTCTGGGCGTTTATTATACATATTTTGTCAGTCTCAGGTACCTATTACACAGGGAATCCTAAATTGGGGCCGGATAACCATGCGTGCTTTTATTTTCAATAAAAAATAATAATAATGGCTTTGTGGTAGCATAGAATAGTACCACCATATCTCTTCTCGCGGGCGTCGTAAGACGATTAAATGACTTACCGAAGAATTGGCAGTAGTGGTCTCTGGATATCATATTGGTGATCGTCAGCATTTACTGCTGAAAGGACGTATTGTAATAGAGGTTAATTATCACCAGCCTTCTTATACATCCGCATTAATATTCCGACTTGAAGAATGGAATAGTTGTTACAACTGGGATGTTCACCTCGCATCAAAGGATTGGTGGGGATATTCGCATTGTAATGCCGGTAGGATTATGTAGCCACTCAACACTAAGTAAGCTGCATAAATCAAATAAAACCATTCAAATTCGTAAAGTAATGGCAAAATTTGTGCGGCTAGGATTACAAACAAATTAAACTCATCTTAGATCAGACATTCAGCTGTAAATTTATCTCCGGCGCCAGCCATGATGAAAATGAAAGATAAACTTTTTTCTGCTTCAAACACTAGTAAAATAGCCGAGTTCAAGGCCTTATACAAATCGGCATAGGACAATCAACTATCACAGCCAGAAACAGTAATACAACATTTCGTAGCGTTAAATCTTCCCTACACAATCTTCGGTTCGAACATTGAATAGTGATTGTTAAAATAGCAATCACGAAAATGGGGTAACTCGAATGAATGACCAAACGGAAAATGAGCAACAGAGAGACCTAGTTCTTTTAATGACAAAATTACATTACACTAAAGAAATGTATTAGTAGCATATTCTATAAAATAATATCCGTTCGACTAACGGGCTAAGGTAACACGCCGACCAAAGCACGACGACCGTATCATCTAACTTCTCATCTCAACTTTATTAATATCGTATCGTTATTTCATCGTCCTCTTGGTCGATTTAGCAATTGTGAATTTTATATCGGGAGATCTGTGCCAATGCATGAAATATCTGATGAAATATCTGATTGAGATCTGTGCCAATATCAATCAGATATTTCATGCAGCTGTAATTAGGAAATCGGAACATTTTTGCCAAGTCATTCGGCTCCACTATCGGTGCTTTAAGGAACCACAAACACCGGTCACCGTTCTCGTCGAGCCCGTCACCTGCAATGAAGGGCTCGGCGTGTAAATTAATCCACAGACATAGCCCACTGAGTTTCTCGCCGGATCTGCTCAATGGGTCGAGTTTCCAATCCAGTGGTAGATTCTGCGAAGCGCTGCTCTTGCTAGTGTTAGTGTTAGTAACATCCACAGGCTAGAATTCCGTGAGCTCACGCACTCGCTCAGTTGCTCTGACATAACTCTTAAGGTTACCAGCTTAGGTAGGAAAAATAAGGGACATTTTGGATCGTTTGGCCTTTAGTACTCAAGAATAATAAGCCTTGGACTAAACAAATTCGGATTTCTTCTCCAATTATTCAATAGTGCTTCGAGCCCCCTATTGCCAAATATCCCAGTATTTAGTATTGAAATTCCTTACTCAGTACTTATAAAATGAGAGAATCAACTTTTTGCCATCTTTACAAGAAGCTACTATTAACAGAGCATATTAAGTATATATTATAAAATGAATCTAATGGTTTTGATGACTCTTTCCTACTTATTTTACTGTATTGTTAGAGACACGTATGGTAAAATAAAATCTGAGAATACATAATGGGGTAACCATCCGTCCTTGAAGATGCCTTTGCCAACGTAGAACTAATAAAAAATAATTTATTTCATCATGTTCGTTATATTTTCCATGCCAAAACCTTACCTCTTGGATAACCTGACTGGCTAAGTGAGCGTTGAATCTAACAGTATAGTTTTGTGCTTTGTAATGTTGGTTAGAAACTGTAGGTGGGTTCGGTACGGTATCGTAACGTTGTGATCGTTCGTTAGAAGAAAGTTGATCTTTCTCTTTAAATTATCAATAATGTTATATAATTTATAGTTATCTGGTAAAGAGAACTTTCCATATATTCATTTTATATTTTAACTCCTAATCGATGACTGGCTGTTTGTAGGTCGCTGAACCTAACCGATTCATCAATGATCTCTCTTTTTTTTCCTACCTATGCCGATAGCCTTGAGAGGCTATTCAGCTTCACCCTAACATGTAGGTGAGCTCACGGGGCTCAAACCGGAAGTGTTGCTAACACTAGCCCTAGCAAGAGAAGTGCTTCGCAAAATCTACAACCGGATCGGAAATGCGACCCATTGAGAAGATTCGGCGAGAAACTCAGTGGGCAGTCGACAAACAATTGTAAGGCCTAGAGAGAAAAAAAACTAGAAATAAAGTAAATAATGTATACTATAAGGGGAAAATAGATAAATTGTAATGTTTTCTTCGGTTTTCGCGAATCGCGGACCTAATTAGTACTACGCTACGTATATATTATCGAGGTGGGTGGCGCATTTACGTTATAGATGTCTATGGGCTCCAGTAACCACTTAACACCAGGTGGGCTGTGAGCTCGTCCATCCATCTAAGCAATAAAATATATATATATATATATCTCGCGTTTATTATTGTTTCGAATAACTTACAATTTTCGTGGTTAAAGACAACTAAAGTTGACATTAAGCTAACACCTGAGTGTTTTGGTACCATGAATTTGTTTTGTTGTTGTTGTTAGTTGTTGAATTTTATTTGTTTGTTTTTACGTTTCATTTCACGCATTCGATGCATGGCACTGAAGCCAAGCATGCACTGGTAATGGAATAGGACATCATTGATATTGGAAAATTGTAGATTAAGCTTATTTAGCATAGGATCCTATTGAATCATCATTAATATTGGAAAATTGTAGATTAACCTTATTTAGTATGTGCATAGATTAGTCCTTTAAAAATTTAGACATTCTGTTCGAAAATTTTAGTTAAGCAAATTTGATCAATTTTCCTGTTACACAGAGTTTCCGCTGTTCTCGAAACTGACAACAATTCAAGTCCATTGTTTTTGAATAATTGGATTTGAGCCAGAAACTTCCGATGCAAATCGATTGTGACGCCGACATTGAAATGTCGAACAATTTATTACAAAAATTGTGGTTTTAAAACTAAAACAACGCGCCTTGCTTATGGTATTTGCTGAGTTGAATCTGACAGATCGGTGGCCCTGATTACTTATTACTCTAATAATTTACTTGTTACTCTATTCTATTTTTATTTTTATAGCTTAGATGGGTGAACGAGCTCACAGCCCACCTAGTCTTAAGTGGTTACTGGAGCCCATAGACATCTACAACGTAAATGCGCCACCCACTTTGAGATATAAGTTCTAAGGTCTCAGTATAGTTACAACGGCTACCCCACCCTACAAACCGAAACGCATTACTGCTTCACGGCAGAAATAAACGGGGTGGTGGTACCTACCCGTGTGGACTCACAAGAGGTCCTACCACCAGTAATTACTCTAAATTATCTCTCTTATTACTCTAAAGTTATCTCTCTTATTAGTCTAAACTTATTACTCTGTCTTGTGTATTGGTTGAATATATGTTAGAAGGTTCGTTTTTATGTGACCCACTTCTAGCCCTGTGATTTTATGGAGCGGTGTTACGTAGCCGCCGGAGCCCGTGCACCCATCTGGGGACATGAGGTCCACGTCTCAAATATACAATACAGCGTCTCCTCTAACCTTTCGAGCCGGAATAAAAGTC